AGCCATCTATTTGGGTCCTCCTTCCCCTCTTCTCTGTCATACCTTGCTGAAAAATGTGTACTGTGTTTTATGTCTGCTGCTTACCAACAAAGGTGCTGCTTTTGAGGTAGCTGTAGGAGCGCGGGTCCTTCTGGAACTGCTCTCTTAGCATGAATCTGAAGCGTTGGCCACAGTTGCCCATGAAAAGGTTTCAAGTGCTTCAAAATGCTTCAAGTGTATTAGCCAGTAACCTACTTATGCACCTTAATCCCTAACCTTAAAACGATGATGACGCGTTACTGCTAACCTTTTTTTGCAATGCAACAGTTTCAGGCCAGTGCTGTTTTCTTTTGCAGCTTGTGAGCAGACAGGGATAAATGTGCCGGGGCTTGGCAGGTGAGGGATGGGCCCAGAGCTCCAAAATCATCCCTTGTGCATGAGAGACTTAAAAGGAAATCTCTCTAGGTCTAGGTACAGACCGCTAAAGGCATCCCTGCCATTTCCAGACGTTCAGATATACAGCGGTGGTTGTGTGAGAAGCCTATAAGCAGATACACCAATAGGGCTGACCTTGGCCTGGAAAGACCTACAGCCCAAAACGCTCCTGGAAGGAGCAGGATTCCTGTCGTAGCTCGGCTGTGCTCTGGCACGTGGGTGTGATCAAGCCCCGTTTCTGTAAATACGTGTGCGATGCATGAAAGCCGGTGGCCTGATTTCTCTGCCCTGCCTGTGCACCTGCTGCTTCTTTTGGAAGCCAGTCTGCAGGTGTTAAAATTGGCCGGTCCGTCCTGCTAGCGGGCTCGGGCCTTGCGCTGCTAGAGTCGTTTGAGTATGAGGAGTGGGGCAAGAAGTAGCTCTTCTTTGTGCTCTGTCTCTATCGCTTTCCACCCCCCTCAGCCTCCTGCTCTCTTACTGTTTCACAGTCCCATTCTCTGCGTGCAAAACTGGGAGTGCTGAAGCCAATTAGCAGCAGAAGGTGTAATTAATGCAGAGAAATTCAAATTAGGGTGGCATTTTCCACACCTTTTCTGATGTAAAAGTGGAATGACTACCTGAGGGAAGTTAGACTTTCTTGATGATGTTGTGCCTTTCTGGACGAAATCTTGGGTACAGTCAAAACCTGGGCTCAGTAAACTACTTTGGAAGGAATATTATGGTCTGCTTTAATGGAAGCAATCAGACCAGATGATGTATTAGTTGTTCAGAAAGTAAAACTTTGCATCCTCTCTGGAGTGGATGTGGATCGTCACGTTTTGCTTCTCTGATGGCAAAGTCGCTTACTCTAGATTGCTGTGTAAAAATTGCTGTATGTACCCTGATTACATCAATACTGGTTTTCTCTGGAGAGAAGCATGCTGCTTTTACTAGTAGCAAAATTGTCGTGCTTTAATCTGCAGTCAGTGGGAGTTTAATAATAACGTAACCAAATTGGTAGCTGTATTTGGAGACAAAATAAGTTAAATGATTTTTGCACAGCTTCCATTTGTGGTGTCGTCAGCTGAAGTTTGCAGGAGTTAAAGGTAAGAGAGAGAAGGGCACGAGGATGTGATTTTCCTACGATTTGTGTGAGTACTGGGACAACTCTGCAGATGTTGCAGGCTGCTTCTTCCTTGGAGGCAGCTCCACCTTACGTATTCCTCTCCTGCTGCTCCATTTCGAAGATGGTCTGGGCCATATTTCTGTCAGGTCCCTATGTGTTGATGTTGCAGTCCTGTACCAGAAAGCATTAACTTACTTAATTCTTTTATTTTGTTTTTTAGATTCTCAATTTCTCCTTCCTTCAAACTCTCGGGATGGTTTAGCTATGGTCCCCGTTGCATAGACTGGAGTTTTCTTTGCCACTTGGCCCTGGTTGCTTGTAAGCAAAACAGCGTGATGTTCGTACTCTAGCGAGGGTGCTCTAGGAGTGACTTGGTTAATTTGCACAGGATCCAGACTAGAGGAAGGGTACCGTGCCCAAGTTTGCTAATGAGACATTAGCAGTTGGTCTGAAGGGGTACCAGTCCCGCTTCAGCTGATGCACAGATTTAGAAGTTGTTCCCTGGATTTAGTGGCTCTGCTTTTTTTAATAAAGTTTAATTGATCTATTTTTGCTGCTCAGCTTGTGTTTCTTTCTGCTGAGCACAGTAACATAAACAGAGATAAAGCATCCCACTGGCCTCCAGGGGGAAGGGAACTGAACCCCTGGGGAGCAGCAGAGCCTTCTGATGGATGACTTCTAACTTTATCATTTGGGGGGGGAAGTCTTGTGATTCCCATAAAGTTTTGATGATGACCGAGACTCTGTAAAACAAACAAATTCTTTTTTTTATAATGTTTTCTCTAGATTTTATCTGTGGCCCATGGAAATATTGTACAGAAACTACAAAAATAAGTCTAAACCCAATCTGTCCAATGATTTTAAAAACCGTAATGTGTTAAGAAAATAGGGATTGGGGAAGCGATGCCGGTTATGGGTCCCTTATTTCTTACTGATCCATTGTGGGTTATAAGAGGGGGGCAAAAATTCAGTAGAGTGCTGTCTTGCTTTTTTCAACATAGACATCCTTTGGGCTAAAGATAGCACAGCGGGGTGTGCGGATTTGGTCTCCAGAAATGAGACAAATGTGGCTAGGGTAGAACAATAAGGCTACCGTTTTGATGATGACCGAGACTCTGTAAAACAAACAAACAAATTCTTTTTTTTATAATGTTTTCTCTAGATTTTATCTGTGGCCCATGGAAATATTGTACAGAAACTACAAAAATAAGTCTAAACCCAATCTGTCCAATGATTTTAAAAACCGTAATGTGTTAAGAAAATAGGGATTGGGGAAGCGATGCCGGTTATGGGTCCCTTATTTCTTACTGATCCATTGTGGGTTATAAGAGGGGGGCAAAAATTCAGTAGAGTGCTGTCTTGCTTTTTTCAACATAGACATCCTTTGGGCTAAAGATAGCACAGCGGGGTGTGCGGATTTGGTCTCCAGAAATGAGACAAATGTGGCTAGGGTAGAACAATAAGGCTACCGCTGCGGGTTTAGGAGGTCTTAAAAATGACTTGTAATTTGAGATCCTCGACTTGAAGCAGCTTAAGGGAGAGAGCTGGGGTTATTTTTGTGTCTGAGTTTGAGCACTATGAAGAAACGAGGCCCTCTAGAACTGCAAGGGTTTTAAAACCCTCTCTGGCAGGAGTGAGCAGCATCTGTATGGCTTCTTGTATCCCAGGGCCATGTCCCATTTTTCCGAATTTGAATATCCATTTTGCAGCTTGCTTATAGTTTTCAAGACCTTCAGATGAAGTCTTGACACTTCCCCCCCCACCCCGTCTTCTTTCTGTTGCATCTTGTGCAACATCTCTCTGGCTGCTACCTGTTACTTCTGCTCCTAAAAGTCAGCGTGGCGTCCTTGGAAAACCTGGTCTAGTTCCTATGGCAAACTATGATGTGTAAAAGTAAGGGGTTTGCACGCTAAGAGAAGTTTTTGTTTAGCAGCTCTGGTGCATGTTATTTGCATGGGTAACTCTTCTGGGGTTGTTTTGGAAGATGGGCTGTGATGGGTGCCATAAAAGCTGTTAAATAACAAGCTTGGGGGGGTTATAATTTGTAATACCACAGCATTGTCTGATCATTTTCTCTTTTTCAATCTTTTCTTAGTAAAAGTAAATCCCAGTTTTAGTAAAAGCTTTAGTGGGCCTTTTGGCTGTGGTGGTTGGTTTGTTAACAGCTTGTAAGCACCAGTTGTTGCAAGACTGGAGCTGTCAAATGCAACCTATTTTAACACTAAATTTTACCCAAATGTGGCTTTCTTGCTTGTCACATTCTATGTGATGGGGAGGAACTCAATTTAAGTGCCAAATAACCATTAGTAATAATGATGTCCAAACATGTCAAATGTAACTATATATGTATTGTTGATCTGGTGGTTTCTGGCAGCTTGTAAAGAATGGGAATCACCAAGGGGCTCAAACTTTTAAAATGAGACTTCTTTGGGATGTGACTAGCTCTTCATGGTGTGTAACTACAGCCCTTGGCGTTGTGGGACTTCTGAAGGCTACAGCAGCACCGAGTCATAACTTACTGTTGAGCTGATCCTTTAGAAATCCTTAAGCATAAAAGAAATATGTGCTGTAATGTAAGGTAAGGGAGAGCAAATGAAGCGCTCTTAGGTTGTGGCATCGACAATGTCATCGCGCTTCCCTTTTTACTGTTGTGCAGCACTTCTTGGCTACTTGGATCCGGGCGACTCTTTGTTCTGATTCATTCTGATCTCTGGGAGCCAGGTGTGAAACTTTGATGCCTATATTCCTCCATCCTCAATCAGCTTCGTATTTCTGTCCAGGACTACAAATGTAGAGCCCATATATTTTGATGCATTGCTAACAGAGATGAAAGGCTTTCATCCTAAACAAGTTGAGTATGTCCTGGGAGTCCTGATGTTACTAATAGCAATGACCACAAAATAAATTGTGTGGGTGGTTTTTTTCCCCCTCGTTCTGCTATCCTTTTTTTTTTTTTTAAAGCACTAACGTCAAACCATGTGTGGGAGATGGGTTTCTTCTGCTTCTTGCACAAATCAGCTTTGTAATGCAACTTAAATGCTTCAGAAGTTGGGAAGCCTTTTAAGTTTAGGCCTTCAGTAATTCAGTGGGTGATCTGTAGCCCTGATTTCTGTCCAAGGCAACGTTGCTGTTTATACTTCAGCTTTCTTCTTCATAAGGGAAATTCATGGAGCAATGAAGGACTGTCTGGCAGGACAAGTAACTGGTGTAATTGCTTGGTTTTACAGAGGTGTTAAATGTTAACTTTGCTTCTACCAACTGAAGATTTACCCCCTTGGATTCCTCTTAGTTCCTGTCTGAGTTGGAAGCTCTGGAGCTAAGCACACATAAGGCGTGCTCCCACCCCGGCTCTGTTGGTCGCTGCTGAGTGCCCTCCCTCTTCTGACTGTATCTGAAGGCGGATGGAGGCAGGGACAGGCTTGGAAGCAAGGGCCAAGAGGTTTCTTTGTTAATGAATAGGATGATTTTGTGTCTTCTGCAGGTGGATTTGCAATAGTCTTTCTTGTGAGGACTAACAATGGGATGAAATGTGCCCTGAAGCGGATGTACGTCAATAACGAGTATGACTTGCAAGTCTGCAAAAGAGAAATCCAAATCATGGTAAGTCACCGCTTTCTACAGGGGCTCCCGACTGGGGGTGGAAGGTGTGAGAGCCTGGTCACCTTCTGCCGGTGATCCGCGAAGTGTCGTGTCACAAACTGTGGGTTTTCTTTTGGAAAGACCTAATTCCTGGAGTTATGCGACTGTGTGAAAATCTTGTATTGAATTATTTAAAATGTAAACAGTTTCAATGGACAAGAAAAACATGGGAGCTGAAAAAGCAGAGGGAATCTCAGGAAAATGAGGGGAGGAAAAAACCTCCTGTGTCAACGCCATGACTTAAAGGGAGAGGGAATTGCCGAGCTCTTCAAAGTCTAACAATTTTCAGGGCTTGAGTCTGGAGCCTTTTAGACGTCATCAGAAAAAGCTGATGATTCTGATGTAACCGTCTCTGAACTCAAATCAGTGCATGAATGGGAGACCTCCATCCTGAGATGAATTTGTATCACAATAGCTTCTAATGTTTTGTGTTGGCATGAAGGCTATCTCGGTGTCGGTGAGGTTGATAGATTAAAACAGTATTTGTGGGGTAGTTACTGCCTGGGCTTTCAAAACAAGGAAGCGTTTATAATTAGCACTGTGATGTTTCTCTAGATTTTTGGTACGAGGGGTTGTATGATGGCTATTTTTAATAGCTGTTTTAAACTTAGCATCTCTAAAAAAAAAAAAAAAATGGAGATGATCCAAATAGATTTGCTTAGTCTTGTTTGGAGCCTGGTAAACACGGGAAGTGCCACTTTTGAAGTTCTATTCAAAGATATTGATGAACATTTAGAGGAACTGCGAGGTGGGGAAGGAAAAATAAAACCCTCATTCTGCTAATTGACAACAAGAGGTATAGGTCGGGGTAGATGATCTTCACATCAGAAACTCTTACCTGTAGCAATTCTGGGTGTGTCTTTTGAAGTAGCTTTTAATTAGGTTAATACCTTTAAAGTTAACTTCTGGAGTTGGTGCGATAGTGTAGTGAAGCTTTTGGGCATGCTTTGTCATCTCTGTAGCTAATGCTACATAGGAAAATTTGAGATTAGATCTTACATCAAAGGTTTTAACAAGCTTTGTGAGCGCAGCGTACTTGGATTTTATTTGCTGATGCTTTCTATTGTCTCCATGTCTTTGGTGCCTCTTTGCAATGCATGGCTAACCTGGACAGTGAGGATGAAGTATCCTTCTCACTTGGCAGGCCCGCTTGTGCCTGTACTGAATCTTATCAGAAGCTCTGATCTTTGTCCCGAAGAACCAGCACGTCACTAAAAAGAAATATTTTCTTCTTTCCTAGCTTTTGTGCAATACAGAATTATTTTAAACTTCACTGCACCTTTGCAACCCTACAGCATTACAGCAGAATGTGGCCAGCAGAATCTTGATTTCTTTTACTGGTGAAGCTGGACATGGAACTGGACTGGCTGTCATGCCTGGGAGTGTGTGTGACACTGGCAGTCCTAAAGTAATGACTTTTCCCTGCAGGTTTAGCATGTGTCATGGATAAGTCACTGATATGAGAACTTGTGCTTTAACCCATCGAGTTACTTAAAATGAGGTACTTCTCAAAGCGAGGTTAAAATTTATTTTATTGCCCTAGTGGGGTTTTTTGAGCATGCGAAGGTTTGAGATGCTATTTGCCAGCAGAAGATGAGAAAAGTAAGGACAGCACGTACTGTGCGTGACCACCACAAAACATCTGCCCTGTTCTCCCTTCTGTTTAAAAGAGGAGCAGCTCCATGTAGCTTGGCCTGGGCCATCTAGGGGAACATGCAAAAATCTGGACCGATGCCTGGACAAGTTAATTTGTCAGGTTCGCTCTTCCTCTGCTGTTTGTCTCAAATCCTTCTGGAAGGAAAACAGGTAGAGACAGATCTCAGGTTTGTTCAAGTTTTGCATGACGGTTAATCCAAAGCGGCAGAAGCTTGTGCCTGTGTAGGAGAATAGCTAGGAAGGCTGTTCAGTGTAGAGGAACCAGATTAAAATGTCGCTCACTCGGTATGGCTGGTTTATGCTTTGACTTTGGTTATCTTACAGCGGGACCTATCTGGCCACAAGAACATTGTCGGGTACATTGATTCCAGTATAAACTCAGTAAGCAGCGGCGACGTCTGGGAAGTGCTGATACTGATGGACTTCTGTCGAGGTGAGTGTGGGCTCAACGTATTCTTCATTGGTAGATTTGTCCCTTTTTGGTGCTTACCGGAAACTTGCACATCATCTTCCTTTAAAAAACCCAGACCTGTTCCTAGGCCTGGTCCTTCCTTGGCTACCAAGGAACCGTTCTGAACAAAGCAAAGCCAAAGCTAAGTGTGGAGAAGTGGATGGTTCGTGAGGCTGTGTTGACCCTGTTAGTGGGACTGGTACCACCTTTGCCTCTGCCCAGGGTGGTTCTAGATCCTTCCTCTTGTGAAGGAGAACCCTTAAATACATATTGCTGCTTTCCATGGGCTGGTCCACGCAAGAAGGTGGACAAAAAGCTGCCAGGCTGTGGGATGAAATTCTTCACTTTATGTCATATTGCAAACTTTTTCCACTTCAGCCTGACTTGGGATTGTTCTGGAAGAATCTTGAAATGAAGCAAAAAAGTATTCCTTTTACCTCTGACCTTTTTGCTTGGCTGTCTCTAGCTAGACAGGCTCTTCCAGTCTTTTCCAGCTGTCCCAAAGCTTTGATCTCTTGTGGCTAGGATGTGGTGTTTGGAAAATGACGCATGAGCTGTGCTCAAATGCCTCTCGCAGGAATAGTGTTAAACAAAAATAATGTTCTGGCCAGGTGACTTCAGAAGTCTGTGGCTGTTTTGCATGGTGGCAGCTGATGGAAATAGGTATTCTTGGGACTGTTTGGCTTTTAACTGAAGCCACGTGCATTGTAGCCAGAACAACTAGGTGCTAAAATGCCTTTAAGCACGTAGGGTACAGCTTTCTGTTCTGCTGTCCCCTCTCTGCTGTTTTGTTTCGATGCAAGAATCTTGACTAACTTGCATTGGGTTTGTTTGCTGGTAAAAGGAAGAACCTTATGTGTAGCTTTGCTGAAGGAATCATTACAAAAGTTCTCTGTAAGCTTAAACCTAAACATAACAAGGAGTGTTGTAAGAAATAGGCCTGGCAGTGGTAGTAAATCCATACTGAGCTCCACAGTGCAGACCCCACTGTGGAGCGAAGTACCAACCACAGCAGTTCAGAATGCACTCCCTCCAGCTGCATTAGCCTCCCCTCTATGCCAAATTTTGGGCTGATGGAGTAAAATCCATCTTTCTAAGGTGTTTCCTTCTGTCTGAAAGGAGGAGAGCTGCAAGGTGGAATTCCTCATGTGGCTTTCTGTTGCCAGATGCTCTGTTCGATGCACACCTGCCTCTTGGCCCCAACATTCAGACTGAAGCACAGGAATTGCTGTTACATGTTGGATTTTCCCTTGTTACTTTCCTTTTGTGTCAAAGAGCTTCCAAACGAAATCAGTGTGTCTTTGTGTGCTGAACTGCACTCCTTTTGAGTGCAAAATGTTCACAGCTGTACTACTTACTCAGCTGAGCTTTTCTTTTGTACCATGAAAATAAAGTTTTCTGACACTTGTGATGTGAAACGATAGAGTTTTCCTTTGCTGAAGGTCCAGAAAGGAGTTGTTTTCTCTGCCTGTATAGGGTGTTTTGAGGGGGGAAAGAACCTCTGTGTGGATCGTTTTGAAAAGGCCTTAACAGCAACAAAACCTCAAAGTTGGGGCAAATTCAGGACTCATTCATGAAAACTTGCTTTTGTTTGTCTGGAGTTTCCCTTGTTATGGACGGATTTTTAATTTTTTTGCCAGTCAGTGATTTTTAGCCGAGTCATTTAGTAGTGTATGGGTTTCTTGAGTGTGTCTCTTTCTCCCTCCTCTTGCTTACATGTGGCGAACTATTTTGTGGACTGTGGGTGCCCCAAGTTCAGCCTTTTATTCCTCTAGTCTGACAGAAGTCTTATGTTGAAGAAGATACGGCTTAGTCAGAATCACATTTGACTGTTAACACAGCCAGGTGAATGTGGGTCGTAGAAGCTAACTTGCTGCTCTTGAAGTGTTGTTCAAAGACGAGATGAGATGTAACGCCGGCCAGCAGATATGCAAAACTCCCTGGGATTTAAGTGAGGAAATGAGAATGAAACAAGATGAGTAAGCAGATTGCAAAAAGCCTCTGGGGAAGGCTTGGTGCGAATTTTGAATGTGAACTCGGGAACTTCTTGTGCGCTGACTGTACGGGCAGTTTGACGGGGAGCTGACTAAGGCAAGGTATGTCTGGTAGGACTGGGGCTTAGACCAGGCCAGACCTTATTTTGTGTACCTGCTGTGATTCTTGGTGTCTGTTTCTCCTCAGGAGGTCAAGTGGTGAACCTCATGAACCAACGCCTGCAGACGGGGTTCACGGAGAATGAGGTCCTGCAGATCTTTTGCGACACCTGCGAAGCCGTAGCCAGGTTGCATCAGTGTAAAACGCCAATAATCCACAGGGATTTGAAGGTGAGATGTGGACTCGGTAATACAGCAGGGAGCGTGCGTCCTCCTTGACGCGTCTGTCTGCTGCCTACGCCATGGCAGACGGGCTTTGAATGCTGGTACTGTGTTTCTGTTGTTAGTAATGAGGAAAAGGGGGCATAAATACCTTTCTCTATTGGAAGGTAAAAAAAGAAATGAGCCTCTCATTGCTGCTTAGCATATGTTTACCAACTATAGATCTACTTAAAAACCACAAATGTTTGTGAATAGTTCTGTTTTGCACAGATGTGCCAGAATGTGTCTGATTAATTATTCACCGTGACTTTCTACCACCTGAAACACTATTGATGTTGTGAGGGAGTTCACAAAAAGCATGCTGCAAATTTGTTTCCTAGACCCACATTAAAAGGATCCCTCCAGAGATGTTGGCCTTGGGGCAGGAGTCGTTAGAAGCTTTTGAAACTGGCCTCTAACTCTGTTGACCATGAAAGGGCATTGTAAAACTCTGTGTGCTTAGCTGGGAACAGAGCTAGGCCATCGGGGAGAGCTTTTGAAAAATCCCATGCCTATAATCAAACAAACAATCAAAAAGACGTTCCCTTTCCTCTCAACCAGCTTGTAAACCGCCTGAATAATATATTCAGCCAAGAAGGAGGCTCCTGTGTACATTTGAAATTCAGATGTGCTTTGTGGGTCAGGTTCTGTTTTCAGAGCCCTCAACAGATGTTTGTTTTGTGCCGCCGGCCGTTGGTTTATTGGAGGAAAAGATTGCCACATGAGCCAGGTAGCACACGGGGTGTGGGGGGGGAAATCCTCAGGGTTTGGTGTGCTTGAACGTGTGTCAAATGATTGTGACCCCACTGCTCAGTCAGTTTGAATATATGGAACAAGTCTGACATATGGTTTTTTCTAGAGTGAAATGGGTGGAGTCTGATAAATTCGAGGCCTGGATTTAAAGCTGTTAAGGTCTGTGGGCATCTTGCAGGGGTCTATATAGGTAAGGAAGACTGGTGTGAGAGGACGAGGCTTGGCTGCCCAGGGAAGGGGTCGAGTCCCCATCCCGGGGGGGATTTAAAAGCCGGGCAGACGTGGTGCTTAGGGCCAGGGTTTAGTGGTGGGATGGCAGGGGTAGGGGGGCGGGTGGGCTTGGTGGTCTTCGAGGTCTTTTCCAACCTAAATGATTCTGTGATCCTGTTAGGAACAGGAATATCTACCGTTGATACTAACTGCTGCTGTTACCTTTTTTGGCCAATCCCTGTTTTGTTTTGGTTTTTTTTTTAACAAAGAACAAAATCATTGTGTGGCATGTGAATAAATCCTGGGACATCTGTGATGGATTAGTGAGTTGATCTTGAATGTTACTTTCTATGCTGAGTTGCAATTGAAACAGACTGTTGCAGTCTGATGTGTGCTTGGATCCGTAACGTTTTTGCCAGGCCTGGCTCTAGGTTGGTAAGCTGTGCCCAAGGTCAGAGAGTTGGTTCTTCTCTGCTTGGAGACGTGTTTCCCAGTTGAATATTGTATTATTTCTGTCTCAATGACCTCTGGAGCTCCAGTCACAATTGGGGATCTAAGTGCTAACACAAAATGAGTGATTTAGATATGTTTTCACTTTGAGTACAAAGTTAATAATGTGGAGGGAGAGCTGCAATTCCAAGAGACAGTAAGGGCCAGAAAAGTTTTCTACAAGTTCTGAGTGTCAGGAAAGGTGTCCACTGGGTAGGTGGACGTGTTGGGGTGACCGTAACTCTGTTGAAGAGTGGGCAGATGTTGACTTTGCAGACAGCTGTGTGGAGACTGGAGGCTTTTTTTGCCTTCCAGCTCTTTGATGTTGCTCTAACACTGGAGGTTCATGCCCAGAGAGCTCTGCCAGCAGAAGGGATGGCGTGAATAGTCTTTAAGCCCTTCCAGACAAGCGCAGCTGGACCGGTTTCAGCGGCCTGTGGCTGTGATTTTGTGTAAACCCAACAGCCTCTGCCTGAAGCAGAACAGCCTCGTATTGGCACAGTCTCTAACTGGTGGGAAGTGACCAACAGCTGGGGACAACAGCACCTTTAAGCAGCGTGCCTATAGGCAAAAGTGGACATCACACTACGAAAAAAGGCCACGAAAAAGATAGTAGTGTCATGGCTCTGTTTGTTAAGGTTTTCCTTCCTGATCAGGTGGTTAACTCTCAGCTGCTGTGTCAGTCTGTCCCTGTGCGCTCTCGCCTGCATGCTGTGCTGTACAGGGTGTGATGTTTAGTTTGATGGACTGCCATAAAAACAGGCATATATTGATGCTACTTTTTCCTAAAAATTAGGAGGACCCTCAGGAGCAGCTGAGGGACCTGGGGGTGTTCAGCCTGGAGCAGAGGAGGCTGAGGGGAGCCCTCATCGCTGCCTACACCTGCCTGAGAGGAGGGGGGAGCCGGGGGGGTCGGGCTCTGCTCCCAGGGAAGGGGCGATGGGACGAGGGGCAGCGGCCTCAAGTTGTGCCAGGGCAGGGTGAGGTTGGCCATGGGGAACGGGAAGAGCTAGACTTGATGATCTTGAAGGGCTTTTCCAACCAAATGATTCTGTGATTCTATGTGCTGCCTCTGCCCTGGTTGGGACCCCTGCAGAGGCAGCGTAAGCCTACGGGGCAGAAGGCTTCCCTTGCGTGATTACCTTTGCTCTTGCAGGTATCTTACTCGCCCTCGGGGTTCATAGGCTGCTGCAGGGCATTCCCTAAAAAGTTTGGTTTTGTTCTTCTCTCTCTGGAGTAAGAACGCTTCCTGTATCTTTAGGTTAAGCCTTTTAACAGCGAAGAATAAATGGCCAGACCTTCTTATGGCTATGTGTTATGTTACCCTGGCTGTGAAGTCTCTGCTTCTAAGTTGGAATCTATAGAGAAACTGTAACTGTCAGATGCCAGAGGAGTAGCATTTAGTGAGGTGGAGGGAGGGGAAAATCTATCTAGGGCTGATGATCACGATTTATACGACTACTCTATACCTAGTGGCAGTTGTTCGCATAACTTGTTTTATGTTTAACCTTGTCTTTCCAGTCTCACACACTATAATGTGTGTAGTTCAAAGCACCAGCTTAGAGCCAACTTTGATTTCTACAGATCGGAGCCTTCTGCAGTGAGAGGTTTCCCACTTCTACCTGTGATGATGCTGCCAGTCTGAACCCATCTGGTTCCAGGAGGAGATGACTGGCTTGCAGATGAGCGGCTGAATTTTCTTGTAGTAGACACGCAGCAGGATACAGCAAAATACGGTGTCAGTCAACCCAGAGGATGCTGTTGATTAAAACATCTTCTTTCCTTTCCTGATTTTCTGAAATAACCAGAAGGTTGTGCTCTCACGATAAGGATTTAGTTTCTTCTTTCATTTTAGCAGGAGTCCTCCCAGTGTTGCAGTTCTCTGAGGTGTGATAAGACAGTCACACTGTGCTGCTGTTACCTCTGGGCCTTCTTCCGTCACCCTTCTTTGTAATGCCAAGTCTTGCCCCGATGCCCAACAAGCCTTTGCCTGGAATTTGTTTGGATGGATCTGTGTTCAGTGTGGGATATGTAAAATCATTCAGTCCTCTAATGGTAAACCCTTGTATCGACCGTGTTAAAAATATGCCTGTGCCAAAATCAGTTAGCGTTCTTGGGTGTCACGTTGCATTAATTTCTTTGCTATGAAATACTAAACAAGCCTTCAGAAGTAAATAGTGAATGGTGCCAGGGGAGGAAGGGAAGCTTAAACATTTCTGAAGAGACCTAAGTCGCTGGAAAGCAGTCAGAAAGTGTCCCTTGGTTGTGCATCCCTCCCAAATGCCAGCCTTAGAAGCCATTGCTCTCAGGAGAGGATAATGTGCGTTGATTTTGCTAGTTAAAGAAAGCCTTATTCCTTACCCCTTGCCAGTCTGTGTCTGTGCAGTGTTTTTATGACTTCTGGTTTTAGCAAAGAAGGGCATTTGTTTCAGAGAGTAGAGAGAGAAGCTAGCCACATTCTGTAACTAACTACACTTAAGGCAATTCATAGTTCCCCTTAAAGATTTTTGTTTGGGGTCTAAATCTGACTTTGGGCCTATCCAAGACTGCAGCCAGAGTTGTAAGCGCTCAGCAGTGCTGAAAACTGGATTGCAGCTTTCTGAGTGTTTGACTGGGAGAAGGTACCTCCGTACTCTGTTTAAGAGACAGTTTGCTCTGGCCTGGCAGTCAGTAGTAGTAATTCAGGTACTTTGTTTTGCGGCATGTTTTGTTTTGTTTTTGTCTTTTTGTGGAAGTTACTGAGCAAGCCTGGTTGCTGGATAGTCCAGTGCTGACGTTTAACAAATTGCAGGATATTTCAATAAGAAGTCACCTCGGACTTCACAGCCAGATAAAGTGGAAGGACTCTTCTGGAAATGTTTGACGAGTATTTGCAGGGAATAGGGAATAATGCTGTCAGTGTTGATCTGCTAGGGAGAACATCTGTGTGCAATGCTTTATTCAAAGCAGATGGATAGCAGAGGGGGGAAGGGGCGTTGTTTAACCCTTGGTTTCAAGCCAGCGTTTCCCCCTTCAGCTGCTCTAATTTGGCTGCGTGTTCTGATCCTTAAAATGCTGACTCCTTCTTTTTCTTTCCTTCTTGCAAAGATCATCCTTGATGGGGAGGTCTACTTCCAAAAGGTTTTGTTAGCGAGCCCTTATCTGGTGATTTTTTTAAAATATATGAGCAGCATGTTTTCTCTCGTATCTGAGCATTTGACATTGAAGATAAATACATTAAAAATTGTGTGTGTTCCCTTGAGAGAACATGCTGTTAATGCTGCTGTACAGATGAGGAACTGGAATACAGGGATGCTCTGCCAAAGCAAGGAACTGAACCCAGGTTTTTCCACATCTTGTGTCAGTGTCGTAACATTTAGACAGCTTTAAGTGGATGCAAGCTAGATTTTTTGTTAATGCATGATCAAGTGTGAGTATTCAGGGAAAGGGCAGTGACTTTGCTGATTTTTTTTTTTTTTTAAAATATATATATATTTTTTCAGCTATCCCAGGTGTGTGTTTTCAGCATTTGTTTCAGTTGTCTGATTCAAGCTACCAAATAATATTTGAAAGAAAGGCATCATCTTCTCAGCAGCCTGGAGGAACCTCTGCTGATACAACCACTGTTTAGGGAGTATGGGGTACCCAGCACATTCTGATACCAATCTGATGACCCAAGTGTGAGCATAAGCTGAGGTTTGTTTTGAATGAGACCTGAAGTGGCAGGTGAAATGCAGGCAGAGACCTGGAGGTGCATTCGAACTTCATAAGGTACAGACGTGCGTGCACTGCCATCCGTTTGCCTCCTCTCCACCCCGCTTAGCCAGCGAGGGGGTATAGCCCTTTATAAAGCTGTGGACAGCTTGTATTAGCTGTCCCAAAATTCAGCTGCCAGACCGTGGGTGACAGTAGCTCAGGGAAGTTGAGCACTAGAGACACCGGGACACAGCTCTTGTCCTGAAGCACGTAGTAGTCTTAGTAGAGGCAAGGTGATGTGCTTGCGAAAGGAGAGGTGGCAGGATGGAAGGCAGCGTTACGACTATGCTGCTGTGATTTGACTTCTATTTTAGGAGATGTGACAGAGATGTGATGCATATTTTCTCTGCTGTCATGTTACGCTTTTATGTCAGACATGTCTGATATGTCTTCAGGCACTAAAACCCCTGGCTCATCTAAAGGAAACGAATGTGTGGTTTTTGGTTTTTTGTCTGAGTGATTTTGTATTTGTCTGTGATGCTCCTAGGTTGAAAACATCCTGCTGCATGATCGTGGCCACTATGTCCTGTGTGACTTTGGAAGTGCTACTAACAAATTCCAGAACCCTCAAACAGAAGGGGTGAATGCGGTGGAGGAGGAGATCAAAAAGTAAGCGTGACTTTTTTTTTTTTTTTCCCTTTCAACTCAGACATAGTTTGTATTTGAAGGGTAATTTTTTTCTTGTACTTGGGATTAACTTTTAATCGGGCCTGTTGCAGCAAATTGGATGCTGCTGCATAGAGGTGTCTGCTGCAGGTAAATAAGTGCCGGGGGGAAGGTGAAACAATAAATTGGGCTTGATGTAATTGCTTTGGACCTGAATGACTGAGTGTGCTAATGCAGAGAAGTTGCCCACCTTAACGAGGTGGTGACAGGTTCTGTTATGCATGGGGTCAGTCTGTCTCTGTCCCTCATCTGTCTTGGCTTCTGTGAACTGCAAGTACAGCAGATGACAAAATCCCTGTCCTCCATAGGCCACTCATAAATCCTTGCAGTGATTAAGGGAATGCATGGCCTAACTCCTCAGCTCTTCATAGAAAATGTAAGGACCTTGAGGTGTTTATCTGGCTCCTTCTCCTGCCCCACGCACCACCAGCTGTAGCGACAGTGACTGGGTGCACCTTGATGCTTTTATACAGGGACCTTAGCTGGCAGTTCAGTAGGACCTGGGTCAGGAATGGAGCAGGCTCTGGGCCCTTGGTCTTGCTTTAGTTTTAACAACGTCACTGCTGCAGTTCTGTTAATACAATATTCTGGCTAGAAAACAACATGTTAGAAATGTGCACAAATGCCTCCTTTTTGTTAGGGTGCAATTATACCTGCATGGATTTCCTAGACTTGCTTGACTGAAGTTTTTAGAGCGCTCCTAGTCTGGCTTTGCACTCCCTTTGGAATGCCCTATTTGTATACTTATTAACAAGGCTACAAAAACTTTGCCATTAGCAGTGCTTTCTTGTGATCAAGGTAAACAGCACGTAAGGTGCCACGGCAGAAATTAGAGACTGACTGATAAGGAAATCTTATCATAAGAGTCTCTTAAACTGTGGCACAGTTTCCAGCTCTTCTGTTTGTAGTGATTTGTTAAAATGAGGCAGATTCTGGCTATAGTTTGAGGTCTGAAATAACCTTTCCCTTGTTTACAATGACTCTGAGCAGGAGTCCTGGTATGGAAGCCTATTTATTAGGAGCCACGTATCCAGTTACAATCGTTGTAATACTGTTGGCCAAAGCCCCAGCAGTGAATACATTGCAGAGGACGTTTGACTGCTGACCTTGTTAATACTCTGAATCCTTGAATATTTCTGTCTTAGGTCTTAAAATGACTGTACAGTTTTGTGAGCTGCTTGCTTTAGAAAGGATTTCGGTTACTGCTTTGGTTTCACAGGGTTGCAGTCTTTTATTATCAGAGGTGTGTAGCAGATGCTGCTGTTAAAAGATTTTTCCAAGAGAGTGTTGTACTTAGTATCCATTTC